AAGAAGAAGAAGAAGAAGAAGAAGAAGAAGTATGACTAACCCCCCACTAATCCCAATCCGACACACCACACACACATGAAGAGAGGCGAACACCCGTTTGTCTTGGCAAAACGCGGCTATGTACGTAAACCCCCCCAGCCGCACCAAAAAAACCACAGTTAGCGAGTCATTCTAGGCAACCACCTTTTGTTGCCCAATTTTTTTTGGGAATTTCCAAACAAGGAAGCTAAGTGCGGGAGATGTGTCATGGATAATTGGGTGGCTAGCTGGGAAATCTTTTGGAAGGGGGTAGCGAATCGGATGTTGAGGCGGGAAAGGGAAGGGAGCGGATATAAGAGTTGTTTCCCTCGAATGTTAAATGCCTCTTTTTGCTCGTTTTGTTTTTTTTTCTCTGTTGAAAATCACGCATGGGCATTCGTGTGTGTATACTAATTCCATTGTTCGTCTTGGAGAAGAGATGGATTCAACTGACTTGATGGGGTCGGTCGTACAGAAAAAAGATGGATAAGAGGGGGGCGCTCTCTCCAGGCAGCAACTTAAAACCAAGAATACGAGAAGAAAAAAACGAGAAGAGAAGGGATATCCTGCAGGGCTCCCGAACGAGTAGAAAAAACGCCAGAATAACGCCGAGGCTATGCTTTTTGTGTGTGTCCTTGGTGTGCCAGTCTGCGGACGACGGTAATGGGAAAGATGTGCGCCGAAATCGTAAGAGAAAAGAGTAGGAGCAAAGAACAAAAAAAAGGCGGGATAAAGAAGGAAATGGGGTAAACGTCATGACTGTCGCATCGTCCTAACATGCTGCGTCCGGTGCGGTCGTCCACCTCTTTCCCGCCTCGCACCACCCATCTCGACGAAATTGCCCGGCGGACGAGTCAAATTGTGATTTCCTGCCTTGAGCTCCTTCAGATCCTCAGCATCAATCAAGCGTCGTTGCCATAGATACTCGAAAAGGGCAAAATCCGGTCGGCTAGTCCGCAGCGTCTGGCCATACATGACATGAGCCGAAGCAACATGATGCATGCGAGCAGCCCAAGCAGCATGACCTCCACCCTCACATGCGCGAGCTGTCCAGTCACAAAGTGGACACTGCACTTTCAAAGGGGGTTCCTCGCCGCGGAAATGCGATAAGCAATGTCGTTCCCATTCCTCCTGGTTGTGCGAGATATAATTGCAGTCGAGGAACCAAAAAGCACATTCGAACACTGGCACGCGGGTCATGCCCTGTGGCATTTCAAGGACGCCCTCATGTCCCTCTTCGAGCAGCGGGTACCCAGCAAGGTGGCCGGCGAGGCCCGTACTAACGCTCGTCTCGGTAGGCGTGGCTTCGGTGCAGCACGAGTGCAGCGACGGGGGACTATGAGTCGAGACATTGGACTGGTGGATCAGAGCCGGCGCCATGGACGAGACGCTCTTGATGGACTCTGGTTCGAGCACCAGGCTGTCAGCCGCCGGGGCCTGGATGCCGTGCAGGTATTGCGAGCCGATGTGTACCAGACGGGCAGAGAGGTCGGGTTGCTGTACCCAGTCGTGCAGCGTGGGCGTTACATCGCGGTCGCGCTGGCGGAGAGCGGCCAAAGACATGTTTGGTGCGACTTGCGGGGTCGGCTGTGGCGCAGGCATCAGCCTCAGGCGAAGACGAGTCTTGATTGGGTGGGAAGAGGGGCAGAGTGCATCTTTCTGGCCTTGCGGACAGGTATGGGCAAGGCGGTGCAAGCGAATCAGGACTCACTGGGTCTTTACAGGGTCTGCGAGGCGTACGCCCGGCATCAACGTCGAGGGAAAGATGGGGATGTGAGGAGTGAAGGGTAGGGCTTAGCGTGGGTGTGTTTGCGGGGGACGGTCTGTTCCGGTCTGGGTCGACGAGAGTCTAGGGCGACGGATGTCGTGGCCGGCGGGTAGGGAGAGTCGGGGGTGTTTTTTATGTCCAAGATCTCGATGTGTCGGTCTCAAAGCAGATCAGATGGTTTCTGCGAGATGCGGCTCTGGGAGGGATTGGCATCTTTGTCGCTGCTCGGATCTTCACACCCACCGACCGCTTGCATACCAAGTCGCCCATGGCGAGTAACCGTCATTAGCCCATCGACCACGACGGCGTCACGCCCTCGAGCAACGGCTCGCCTTGCCCTCAGCGATAGTGAATTGATTGGGCCGGCAGCTTGCAGATGACGGCTGTCTGCAGAAGTGGGGTGACGCCTCTGAACAGCCGAACACCCTTTCCCCACTGCATGGCCGACCGCTCCCGTGCCACTACGAATTGACCTCTTGTATGGCGCTTTGTCGGTGAACCCGATGGGCTGTCCCGAATGAAGAGTCATCTGAATTGGCTTGGCCTACGCAAATATACTGCACTTTGGTGTGTCTGCATTGTGGTCATGTGCTTGGTGGAGATTAACGACTCTGTTGGTCCAAATATAAGAGTGACATAGGTATGAACAGATGTATATCTGTGGTTGCGGCACAGCAGATCAGAGCGACCGACTGAAGCAGGGTCAGTAGACCAGCTGGGGCAAGAGTGCATGCTGTCATCACATACTATCACCGTACATACAACGTACATACTTACACTTTGATTTTTATCTTCACAGTGCGTCCAACTGGGATGATCGACCACGAACCATGTACATACTGTATGTAATTAATAACCAGCAATACGAATGGAGTAATTCGCTCGTCAAGCTGGTGACAAACTTTCGGCCCATGCCGGAAATACCAAGACCGTGTTGACACATACCTGGCTTCGTACATCCAACATGACGGCAACTCCCTATATCGCTCTGAGAAGTGGGAGAATGCCAGCTGTACGTACAGTGTTGCGGTCCCAGCGAATGCGCCCATGACTAGCCCTTGGCACTCTGATGTCGCGTTTCATACTACGCGAACGATCCCTGCTGCTTCAAGCGGCCTGCGACACAACCTCAGCACAAAACCACTGCCGTGCGCATGTGCACCATCCCCCCATTTCCGTGGCTCGCGACCTCTCTTGGCCATGTTCTGGTTTCATTCTGCAGCCCACATTCAACCTCTTCCACGTGAACTGATCTGGGTCTCCCGACACCCATAGCACCCAAGTACCTACAGTACCAGCCGCCCAACATCTTAGCTCCTCAACGCTACCGTCTCAGATCCTCGTGTCACGACACTTTGCCGTCGCGGCACGTCCTAGGACCGTGATAAAACTGGAGACCAACCTTGCATAGCAGCCGCAGCCACCCCTTCCCGCGCATGATCACTTTTCCACGAACCGTCATAGTGTCCGCGGTACCCTGGATTCGCCTACTTCACCCTTAGGCCGAACTCCCGCTTTACGAACGACGCTGTCGCTGCTGTCGTAATACTCGCTCGCTCTAGAAGCCAAAGATCGGCAAAACTTCCATGCTCATACAACGCCATAACATCATACGGAAATACCGATCGACTGCATCGCTGCCCACGCCTTGGGCGACATGCTCACACTCGCCTCGCTCTACAGCCTCCCTCCCGTACTCCTCAGCCTCACAATCACACGCGCCTACGCATCCCCAGATGGAGTTATCGGCGACCAGAAGACGCATGTCCGCCCTACCTTCGCGACCACCTTGACCGGCGGCGAGGGCTGTGACCTGTCCGAGATTGACGACATCCGCGAGGGCTTCTCCGAGATGGTTGCCCTGTTTGCCGCTGCTACGCCCTTTGACCCCACCTCGCAGCCAGGACGAGAGTTCTTCGGCCCCTCGATAGCTGGAAACTACACCGACATGATTGCTAAGAATCTGCAGCGAGCAGCAAACTACGGAGTACTCGACGGAGAGGACGGTGCCATCAATGCTGACATCCATATACGGTGCGACGACCCCATGGACCTTTGCGACAAAGGCAACAGACGCGAAGGTAACCACGCCGCCTACAACCTCGGCAACGAACCGCACGTTGTCTTCTGCTCCGACTACTTTGACATGGACCCCCTCGAGGCGCGAATAAACAACAAGGCCGAAGACCAAATCCAAAAGGACCGCCTGATGGAATACTACAACCGCGCTTCTCTGTGGGCACGCATGGTGATGCATTTCTCCGACATCGGCACAGCAGTCGTCCAACGACCCACTCCTGCACCTCCAAACTCGACCACCGAATGGATTGTGACCTCTTCTGAAGGTCCAATGAATACGTCTGTGCTCGCTGGCGTGCTCAACGAACAGGGTGATGGCCCAACCGACCGCCAAACCCTCAAGTACGCATACGGTGCCACACGCGCAAAGCTGCTCGCCACTCTATCCACCCAGATGCCCTATGATGCTGCAAACAATGCCGAGAACTATGCTCTCTACGCCCTGTCGCAGTACATCATCAAAGACAAGACCTTCTACCCCGCAGTCCCCATCATGGATTTCCCAAACGAAGCAAGCGTGCTTACCAATGACAACCTCCAGGATGGCGAAAGGTGCAAATATGCCTTTTTCGACATGTCCGACGTCGTGTGAGTTTCTCCTTTCCCCTTTGTTTCTTTTCCGTCCTAGCATGGTGCAGACATGTGCATAAAGGCTAATGTTACAAACAGTGCAAGACCGTCGGATATGTTATTAGAAGGCGCGCCACTACCCTCTGCAGCCTCATCTTCTCGTGCCTTGTCTTCGGCCATGATAGGCATGACTGGCGCTGCCTTAGTCTACGCCTTCATGGCCACGTCGATTGGATGAAGTGGATCAAAGTTGCGAGAAACGCCAAGCATTTCTGTGTTTGAGTGGAAATTTTCCAAGAAGAAGAAGAGCAAAACCAAATCTCTTGCTAGGAGATGTAAATGGCATGGGAGTCATGTATGCGTTAAAATCCCCCGCTAAACCTTGTGTGCGTCTGGCAACGCTGATTGCCTGATGTGAACCCATGATGGACAGACATCGTATGATGCGACACGGGTCCGGGAAAGCACCTCCTCGTATTGGATGAGTACGTAAAACCCCTAACCCTGTCATCTTTTTTGATACCGCTTTCGATCTACAAGCGGATACTTGGGTCGTACGGAAGCGTAAATGACTACGCCTGGCAAGACTTGGGTGTGGTAGGGGACCATGGGCGCCAAGGGATAGTAATTTTGACTCCGTAGCTCCACGCTAGGATGTAGAGTCCTATCATGATGGTAATTTTTCGACTGGCTGGTTGAAGAAATCAAGGCGAAGAAGAAAAGGCATAGATGTCTTTGACCTTGATGTCCTGGCCTGTTCGATAGCGATAGAGAAGATAGTAATAGTAATAGTCAAACAACAAGTGTCGAATTGACAGTGACTGTATTGTGACTTCTGTACCTTCTCTTGCACAGTCGACAAGCTGCGAGCACCGAATGTGGCAGTATGTTCTGTTCCAGTATGTCCTTCCGGGTATCAAGAGCAAGCATAGCTTTCTGAAGTAAGGCATAACTATGGAAATGTAAAAACAGTCGTAGTCGTGTATTACCCAATACTATATTTCGAAGATTGCCCTCGCATCCTGGGCGAAAGAGGTCGATGGACAGAAGGTGGATTCCAATCCGGCCGCTTCCTCGTCGGCCTTGAAGAGCCAGGCTCACCCGGTCCATTCTTCATAGCCTGCACTACGGCCTCGATGACGTTTCCCGTCTCCGCGCGCACCTCTGCATATTTAGCAGTAATCAAAGGCTCCTGAATGTGCAGTCTCAGGCTGCCAGTCAGATCCAGTTTCTTGCCCGCTTTCAGCAAGCCCATGAGATCTGGTCTGTCTTGAATAGCTTTGGCATTGACAAACATGCCATGGTCGTCGTATCCTCGCTCTTTCAGTTCGTCTTTGATTGCATTGCGTAGACGGCGTCTCGCCCATGCTCGTACACAGCTCGACCTGCTCAGATTGACACCTGTAGTTGCATGCCACCAGAGTCCTTGTTTCTTGCGTTCTGCCTGTCTGCGCTTCTGCGTCTCATGGAGGGGATGCGAAGCGTCGCTTACGACGTGGTTGAGGATGAAGTTTTTGTATTCTGGCGCATAGCTTACTGTGAACGTATTGGGCTTGTTCTTAGCGAGGATTGCGAAGGCGCTCTTCATGACTCTCTTTTTTTCTTTCTTCCTCGTTCTATCCGTCACGTTTCGACGAATTATGCACAGTGACGTTTGCAAAAAAATGGTCGAACACAAAAACGGTCACAAGGAAGACGGGTTGGCTGCTCGGGTGAGCGCCCAACGCTAGACTCAAGACAGGCAAGCGCAGGGCGTTTAGCGCCAAATGTCCAGGGCAGGCATCCCACAGTGACTGTGTCGGAATCCACGCGAAGGCGAAGCGGGCTGTGTGTGGTGCAAACAACGGGTCCCGCCACTACATAAGAACTTGCGCCCTGCTTTCTTAAGTCCCTCGACTCCCATCTCCACTTACAATCAACACACAAACAAGCTTCGACAACCGCCAGTATGCCGAAGAACAAGGGAAAGGTATGTTTGTTGTTGCTTCCTTTGGAGGGGCAAGGCTCCCCACTACATGCGCACACAACCTCCATGACGCTGCCTGGCCTCACTCCCAGGCAGCGTCTCACCTCACCTCATGGCGAAGTGTGAAGCGCTAGCACCACTCTATACATCTATTACCAAGACGCCCAAACAGCGTCAAATCACCTGCTAACCACCCCGAACCACAGGGAGGTAAAAACCGACGTAGGGGAAAGAACGAAAACGACAATGAAAAGCGCGAACTCGTCTTCAAGGAGGAGGGCCAAGAATACGCCCAAGTAGTAAAGATGCTCGGAAACGGTCGTCTGGAAGCCCAGTGCTTTGACGGCGCCCGCCGCCTCGCCCATATCCGCGGCAAGCTGAGGAAGAAGGTCTGGATCAACCAGGGTGACATCATCTTGCTCTCGCTGCGCGACTACCAAGACGAGAAGGGCGATGTTATCATGAAGTACTCTGGTATGTTTTTGAATGACCCCCTACCCGGACATTTTGCGTGTCGAAGGAGAAAAATCGAAGTGGTAAAGGTTGTTTTGGCTGATGAGATATCGTTGTAGCCGACGAAGCCCGTTCATTAAAAGCTTACGGCGAACTCCCCGAGAACGCAAAGATCAACGAGACAGATACCTACGGCGACCAGGGCGACGAGGGCATCGGTTTCGAATTCGACGAGGACCGTGATGATAGTGACTCGGATGAGGCTGAGGGTGGTGGCAAGAAGGAAATTGATATTGATGATATTTAAAGCGAAGAGAGAGATATATATGGGGAGAAGAGGTCCGCCATGCTGTCTCGACTCTTTGCTTTGCGCTTTCCGCGGCTTCTAGCGTTTTTGCGGTAGCGAGGGTTGGGCTGCTCAAATGCTGCTTCTTGCGAGCGGGCGGATGAGAGAGACAGACAGACAGACAGAGAGAGTTTGTGGTTATTCTAATCAAATCGACTGCGGTGATGGAGGAACGATCCAGTTCTTCTTTATATTTGACATATTCTCCATGTTCCGCGACTCGAATTTGTCTACATTGAAAGAATGATGATTGGCCAAAAATGAACAACAACCGGCAAACCAAACCCATCAATGTCCCAAACTAACTAAACACCTGCAACTGCACATCCTCATACACACTCCGATTCAAAAACCGATGCGCCCTCCTCCCCACATCCGTACCCACTAGCCAACAAATCTCGCGCTCACTCATATTCGCCACCTCGAGTATATTCTCGCTCTGAAGCATCAGCGTCGTAACCGCATTCTCGTTGATCCCCGGTAGCGCCCTCAGCATATCCTGACTTGTTTGGTTGAAACTGCGCATCTCGTCGCCGCTAAGATGGGGATCGAGACCCAACTGGACGGCGCGCAGGGGATCCGGTTCATCTTGCTGTTTCTTTAACTCTGCGAAAATCTCTGCGGTTTGATAGGGGGATGAGGACCAGATGATGCGGAGGCGGGGGAAGGCGAGGGTGAGCATTACGAGTTTGGATTGGAGGTCCGGGGTTGTTGCTGATGAGAAGGCGGAATTGGTGCTTGAAGCGGCGGGGGCGGAGAAATCGGTAAAGGGTTCGAGAGTGAAGGATTTGTTTTGGTCGAATTCGATGAGGAGCATGGGGTGTTTGTAGTGTTCAGTCATTGATTCTACTTGGTTGAAGAGACGGCCGTTGGTGAATGATGCGATCAGGTCGCGGATGGATTTGCGCTCCACGCATATCTGGGGGGTGAGGACGTAGTCGCCGACTGTGAGCATGCAGGGCACGATTACCATGGAGCGGCCATGGAGGAGTGAAGGGAGTGACGAGCGAAATTCTCGTACGTCGACGACGACGCGAGGAGGTTCGGCAGTGGCGGCGAGCCGGCCTCCTCCTGCTATCCTTGTGTTGATTGTGCGCAAAAAGGATTCCTCGGGTGCGAGATTGACAGATGGGTTCTGGGTAAAGGCCATGTTTGCGCGCTCTTTGATGAGCCGCGTGAATGCATCTTTTTCACGACGAACAGCCGACAAGTAGCGTTGCTCTTCAACACTGCCGCCATAGTACATGAAGAATACCTTGACAGTCCGGTCCGTGTGGGAAGACCGGTACACTTCGATACGTCGGATGAAAGCCGCGTCCGGCTCGTACATGATGACATATCTCGGTTTCGTTTCGTCAAGAACGTGCTCGTCTAGGTCTCCAGAGTAGGGATGTATGATGATCAACGAGTTCATGTCGAAGAGTTCATAGTAGCTTTCCATGTTTTCCAAAGGGTCGAGACCTACTTCTCCTGGTTTTTGCGCTGCTTCCACTTCGGTGGGCTCAAGTTCGGCCATGAGACTGGCAATGTGCGCGTCACGGTCTCCAGCTGTACGGACTGCGCCTGTGTCACCTCTTGAAGGACCAGCTGCTGCATTGGCTCCTCCTCTGACGCGACGTCGCTTGTTAGGCGGAGGTTTGCCAGAAGTCGGACGTGCGCCACTTTGAGCATTCTTGTCTGTGTTGTTGTTGATGGCTTTTTGGTTCTCCGAGAATAGAGCAGCACTGACTTTGCCAAAATCGCGTTTCCACGCCAGGTAGTTGCGCAGCTTACGTCGCATCATGAATTTTGCTGATGGCTCATACTCTTCTTCATCTTCATCTGCAGAGCCCTCTGGTTTGACATACATGGTCTGTAGATATTCCCGTAACTGCGCGGCTGTACCCTGGTCGCCGCACATGATGAGAATCGACCCGTTTGACGAATCCTGCGGCGTGGGGTTCAAATATGCATCTTGCTCAATCTCTTGCAAAATTTCAGCTAGCTGCGTCCATTTGGGAAACTCTTCCAAGACAGGTTCCAGCGACTCGGGTACTGCATTTGAGGCGTTGGCTAGGTCAGCATTAGATACCTTGCCCGTGTACACTCTCCGCTTAGCTGTTGTGAAAATGGTATCAGCGGCATCGAGAAACAGCCAGGGGGACTGGTTCTGCTTCGTTGACCCTGGTGGGGGCTGGGAGGCCGCCAAGACGGTGTCGAGATACTTGTTGAAGTTCACAGCATCGTAGGTGAGGAGTGCATGTAAAATGGTCCGCAATAGGGACAAGTCACGAACAACCTGTCGCGTCTTGAAAGTAGTTCGATGCCAAACAGGATCCAACTGCCGTCGAATAATCTGGTCAAAGTTCTTATGCAATGCACTGTCCACTGTCCAGTCCTCGACTTCCAAGCCCGGGTTGCCCTTCTTGAGCTCGCTGATGCTAGCTTCCACACATGCCAATACAGCATTCTGTATATCCTGCATTGCTTCCGTCATGGGTACTTCCAATTCAATCACTTCAGCCTTCTTGCGTCCTTCGAGCGAGTTTGCAACGGCGACATGGAACCTTGGGTATAGCGCTGGTTTTGTCAAGAATAGATTCTTCATCATGTTGGTGAGTGGAGAGAACCCCGAGGTGAAGGGCTCTGGTGTGTCCGAGAAGGCTTTCAGGAAGCCAATCTTGTTCTTCTGCCGGTATATTCTCAAGATGAAGGCTTCCAGAGAAGTGGCCACGACTCGTTCAGCATGTAGCACTACGACACCAGTCACCGTCTCTGGGTTGAGCAGGCCGGACAAGAAATCCACAATCAGAATGCGCGATGTAATGCTGAATATGCCACCTTGTGCGTACATTTTCTCGCGTGTTCCGACGCTCATCAGATCGGTATTGACCAGGCTGAGGCCACGGCATTTGGGCGCGTTACTGACTGCCGCGTGCTCGGCCAGCGCCTCGCCGATCCACACATTTTCGCGGTCGTCAGCTCCGACGAGCAGGATGAGATTGTTACCGGCGGCATCGTACGAGTGTAGGAGATTTGTCACTATGCGCAAAAGGCCGAGGCCGCGGGCGAGAAGGACGAGCTCATCTTCCCCGCGTAGCTCATTGAAGATGTCTTGTTGAAACCCCTATGATGTCATCAGTACAAGGTGTCGCATATTGAAGCGAAGACATACGAGAGGCAACGAGAGCTTCACGGGGGCTTGCGCATCGCCGGGCATTGGGTACTGCTTCGACTGTCGGGGTGGGGCGGACAAACTAAGTTGGGGTGGTGATGCGCGTCCCGGGTTTTGCGCGGGCCTTACGCCAGATCACATGGGCGCGAGACCAATGCGAGGATATTGGAGTAATTCTTGGCAACTTTGAGAGCAAAGGCCATCTAGCAGCCAATTCAATCGTATCATACTTGATTCGCTGCCAGGGCTGAGGGCGGATAATTTGAGTCCGGATTTAAGAAGCGGCTTCAGATTGTGATACATGTAAAAATACAATAGTAAAAAAAGGGAATCATATCAAATCGGCTTGCTTGATCACTCTGCGCTTGCCCTGATCTCTGCCTGTCTTCTCCTGCTTTCAGCAGCATAGGCGTCGCGCTCCTCTCTGCGGGCTTGCTGCTCTGCCTCTGACCTCTTTGCATCCATTTCCTTTTGTGCAGTCCAGACTAGTTTGGTCAGCAGGCGGGCCAGGCATTATGTGTTAGCGGACGAAGACATACTAGGCTTATCCGACCTGGCAGCCTCTTTCAACTGGCCGACGAATGCATCAAATTCTTTCTGTCTTTGCTCTCGTCCTGCCAGAGCCTTCTTTTGGAGTTCTGGGTTGTATCTCTGCATATGTTGTAAGCAGGCTGCTAGGCGCATGCGCGTGGCAGAGCTGTAATACCTTGAAGATTTCCTCCTCTGTAGGCGTGACATACCAGACGAGCGCTGGCCCGCCTACGCAGAGGACTGCACCTCTGGAAAAGTCAGTATGTTGCTTGCAGATAACAACGAAACATGTCACATACGCTGAGAAGGCCTTGATGTATGTTCGGGCAGAAGGCATGATTATCTCTTTTGTAAGCTCACTCAGTGCTCAACTGGCAAGGATGGTTTGGTGCGTGTGTGTGTGTTGGCTAACGGCGGAGACGTGCACAGCCTGCAGCCAAAGTGGTGAAGTCAGCATTCCATGCCGGCGCCGCGGTGAAAAGAGGCTAGTGGGATGCGCCACACCTACCGTCACGTGTATCTGTACCCCGGCAAGCCTGAGCCGCACTGCCACTGAGGCTGACGACGGCTGGTGGATTGCGGATGGTGGCTGGTGAATGGTGGCTGGTGGGCGGGGGGCCAGCGTTGGGTGCGGCGAACGGCGTTCCCGAAGCCCCCCAGGCTTCGATCGGCAGGGCTTGAGTGGTGCCAATTGGTCGAGTCTGTCGAGTTGCATAACCTGTGTATGATCTCCTCCCGCTCTGCAACTCTGTTCGTACAGACACTGTCTCCCCCCGCTGACCCTCCTCTTCTCACCGCCCGCCGCTGAAACCAATCGTGTCCTGCTTCTCTCATCTCGGCTGATGACGAACAATCATAATGCTGTCGTTATCATGATGAAAGCTCATTTAATCAATTGGCGGTGCTGCTAATTAACGGCCTTGATTCGCTTGCCCCCTCCCACCCCCCCAGTCGCTTAATGCGGTGTTTCAGGGCGCCCCCGGATGCTGGCAATGTCACACTTTCTTCTTTATTTCGTCAATGCAAGGTTGCTTCGGCGCTCAATGAACAGACGGCTCATCTTGGGTTGAAACGCCAGAGTCAAGCCATTGGATCTCACCTCCGTGTTTTAGGAGCGCGACTGCAGCCACACCCGCAAACCCCCAATAAGCGTCGATTCCCAGTGGGTTGTAGTCGCACAACCTCTACCTGTCAACACCCTTCATTCTCCTCTTGACCTTCTGCCGCCCGTGTGACTTGCCTGTTTCTTGCGCCTGTACGACCCTTCTTTAATTTCAACACATCCTTGCAAGGGCCACCATTACCACCCTATTCCCCACGTCCGCTAGCACCTTACCCACGCGCGACAAACACGCCGAGCCAGGTCCGGTCGTTGAACGCGCGCATGCACAGGCGCACTTAACTTCTGCATCCCCGCCCTTTGCACCTCATTGCTACCTTCTTCGCCAAGTTTCTAAAATACAGAGGGTCGTGTTCACGCTATCCCCCGCAACTCCGTCGGCATGGCATACCAGCAGCAATACGGCAACTACCCGCAACAGCCACAGCAACGGCAACGCCAACAACAGGGCTACGACAATCACCATGACCAGCAATATGACCAACAGTACTATGATTATGGCTATGACCAGGGCGGCAATCAACAATGGGACAATGGCCACTACGATCAGGGCGGATGGGGGAATGCGCAACAACATGGTGGCTATCAAGATATGAATGGATATTCGAGACAGGCTCCACCAAACCAAGGTCATCGACCACCCCCACAAGACCAATACTATCAGGACGAGACATACAATGATCCGTATTACCAACAACCGCCCCCACAAAATCAGGGTCGAGGACCACCTCCTCAGCAGCGACAAGATCCTCGTAACCGACCAGTGGGGAGAGGAAATGGGCCCTCACCAAATCAACAGCCAGGACGGGGTGGGCTCAGACCGTCGGGTACGTTGCGCTGTCTTTGCGCCATTGATGCATATCGTTAGGTCATCATATCAGACAAGATGCTAATTGTTTTACATAGGCCTTGACCGGTCCATGCTGAATCCTCCAGCCCCAAAGAAACTACCTCAAGATAACCCGTTTCCAACATTTCCTCCAAAAAACCAGAAGCAGCAAGGCGCAAATCCTACAATCGATCAGAGCATGGCGCAAATGAATATCAATGATAATGGAGGGAACGCGGGACCCAGAGGTCCACCAGGGCGAGGACAGCCTATGCCACAGAGAGCAGGACCTAATCCTCGGCAGGACTCAGGGCACTTTGAGGACCAAGGTCAACGACAGCCTCGAAATCAGATGCCACCAGGCCAGCGACCGCCACAGATGAATGTCGATACTAACAGAAGACCAATGCCGCAACGTACATCTGATCCCATGTCTCCCTCCAGACGAACTTTCGGTTCAAACACACAGCGTTCCATGACCATGCCCCAGAACGTGCAAAATGGCTATGGAGCGGGCGGGTACAACGGCCAACAAGAGTATGCTGAGCCTGGAGCGATGTCTGGCTATAATGGCCCTACATCGCCAACCTACGTTCCACCCAGGCCAACTACTGCTGGCGGAACCAGACCAAATGGTCCCTCGATGCAGCAAGGACAAAGACCTCCAATGCCGCAAATGCCATCGCAACAGTCACAGCAGCCACAACAAGCGCAACACGATGACCCCTCGGGCCTAGATAACTTTTATGATGATTACTACGGTTCAGACGACCGCAAGAGCATGGGAACTGCAATCGATATGCCAGATTTCGATGCCATACCGGAGACAAACAACAAGCATCGCCGAGGTGATTCGATCGACGGCCATTTGGCTCCTGCAAACGAAACAAAAGCTTATGCTCCACCGGCCGCTCCTGCAAATCCGCGGGCTGGACCCAATGGTAACGTCCAGGGCCAGTTATCGCGAAGCCGATCGCAGCCACAACTTAACAACCAATATGCCAACGGTATACACCAGATGGCTGCGGATGCCCCTCCTATGCCGGGCGTGCCAAGGGCGAACACCGGATTTGGAGGTCCGACTGGTCTACCAAACGGAGCCCGAGGTCGGGGGCCGCCACCTCGGGGGATGACAACGGACGGCATGCCACGAGGACCGCCCAACCAGGGCCCTATGCAGGGACAATCGCAAAACTTTGACCCCAGATACGGACGCAATCCACCGGGAGTTCAAAGACTATATTCAGACGAGTCGACCTATTCAGAGCCACCACCGAACACAAGGAACTTCACATCACCACCAGCAGCCGGTAATGCCATACCTCGACCAGGAACAGCGGCACCTGCACCAGGACGCCACCCCAGCGACCCGTTAGGCAGAAGGCCCGGTACTACTCAGCCGCCGTTGAACCCAGACGCATTACCAGCACATCCAGTGCCTGTACGGCCGGGTTTGATGCAACAAGGACAACTACAGCAACAACAACCCCAGTCATCGATGCCTCAGCAATCAAGACCGCCGCCTGTTCGTCAGTACAATAGCGAGCCAGGACGCCCAAGTTACGATAGTCAGCACTCCACCGCAAAGCGAAACAGCGCACAAAATGCAGCCCCCCACCCAGTAACGCATGATGAACTGAACAGATTGCGTAATGTTTGGAAGAAGTCTGAATCTTCAGACATCGCTACAGGCCTGAAGTTAGCAAGGAAGCTTGTCGAAGCGTCTAGTGTGCTCGCTGACGAAGGAGGCACTGCTGATAACCGGACAAAGAACAAGAATCGCGAAAAGTTTATGCAGGAAGGCTACAAGATAGTGAAGAAGCTGGTCAGCATCGGATCTCCCGACGCCATGTTCTATCTTGCCGACTGCTATGGTCAGGGAACCCTTGGTTTACAGGTGGATACGAAAGAAGCATTTACTCTGTACCAATCCGCTGCAAAAGCTGGACATGCTGCAAGTGCGTACCGAACAGCCGTTTGCTGTGAGATGGGCCACGAAGAAGGCGGAGGTACAAAGAGGGATCTGGTCAAAGCAGTGCAGTGGTACCAGCGTGCGGCAGCACTAGGTGACACGCCTGCAATGTACAAGATGGGCATGATCTTCCTCAAGGGACATTTGGGCCAGCAAAAGAACTTTGGTGAGGCCATCAACATGCTCAAGCGTGCTGCCGAACATGCAGACCGAGACAATCCTCATGCTCTCCACGAGCTAGCCCTCATCTACGAAGCATCAACCGGCACTGAACGCATAGCCCGCGATGAAGCATACGCGCTGCGACTCTTCCACCAAGCCGCAGACCTCGGTTATAAGTTTTCTCAATTCCGCCTCGGACAAGCATACGAATACGGTATGTTGGGATGCCAAATCGACGCTCGCACAAGTATTGCTTGGTACACAAAGGCTGCGGCTCAGGAAGAACACCAGAGTGAACTCGCCCTATCTGGCTGGTATCTAACTGGTACACCCGGTATCCTCGAACAAAGCGACACTGAAGCATATCTCTGGGCCCGCAAAGCAGCGTGTGCGGAACCGCCTCTGCCAAAGGCCTTGTTCGCCATGGGCTACTTTACTGAAGTTGGAATCGGTTGCTCAAGGAGTTTAGAGGAGGCGAAGAGGTGGTATGGAAGGGCTGCTGGTAAGTTTTATACCCTACCATACTCCATTTTCTGAGATGTTTTCAAAGACTGACTTTTACACTTCTCAGCATACAAATTCCCCAAGGCCCAAGAACGACTTGAAGAGCTCAAAAAGGGTGGAAGCAAGGCCCAGAAGAATAGGGAGAGGTTGAGTAGGACGAATCAGAGGCAGCAGGAGGAGAATTGTACGGTTATGTAGGCTGCGTTTGTGGAGATGCTTGATTTGCTGGTTACTGGAAGCAAATGGGCTGTAAACCCCACCCTTTCTTTTGGCACTAGGGTTCTTGTGCCAGGGGTGCATTGCCTGGTTTAGCATTTGACGGATATTTGCTTATGTTTGAGCGATTTGGTAGTTCAAAAAGGGAAAAAAAAGTGGATTTCAAGAGATACTCTTTTTTTTTGCAATGGCCTTAGTATGAAATCAATGATGGTGGGTGATATGAATCTAGAAATGGTTATTTAGGTCCTCCCTTGGTACGAGAACGAAGTTTCGTAAGCAACATATCATAACAATTCATAATTATTCATTAGACACTGCAAAGCTCCATTCACAGCATCAACATAACAACCATATATCTACACTCTCATCTAAGCATACTCCAATCTCTCCTCCGACCACCCCGGCCTCAAATACTCGCCATCAAACCTCGACTTCCAACTACTCTCGACCGCAAACTCCTGCACCATTTTCACATCCACCTTCGCACCTTCCTCCTCCTGCGCCCAAACACTCAGTCCCAGTACGTTCTCCCCGCCGTAATTCAAGATACCAGGTGGAACAGGGAATTTGACTTCGTTGCCCACAAACGGGTTGAATCGAGCATATTGGTACCCGTTCACGAAAAGCTGGACACGAATCGTCTTCGCGGCGGGAGCGTTTAGTATGAATGCGAATGAAGCGTCAACGTCTGCGGGGACATCGAGGGGGAAGGTAGTGCGGTAGAACTTGATATCTGCGCCTGAGAAGCCAGTGGAAGGGGAGGCAGAAGCCCAGTCTGCGTCATCGAAGCCGGGGAGATGCCAGCCTAGGCGTTCGGCAACGAGGCCGCCTTCAGCTAGGGGACCACGGACGGGGTCGAGCAAGGTGGATTCGCCGCCTGCTTCTCCGGCGATTTTCCAGGTGGTGAAGTTTGCGGGGCCGGAGAGGGAGGCGCGAAGGATACCGCGGGGGTCGGTGGCGCCGCCGCGGAGGTCATGGCCGGTGTTGTCTTGGGCGATGAGAAGGACATTAGTACTGTTTGAGTGGACGGTTGCGTTGGCGAAGGAGAGCGTTGCATTGGCTCTGCCCAGTGTGGTGTTGCCGAGCCAGGAACCAATGTGCTCGCCGTTAAGCCAGGCGCTCCAGCCGAAGGCGAGACCACCTTGGACAGAGAGTTGGACGCCGGTGGCTGAGCCATCAAAGTAGCCACGGAAGAGGTGGAAGCTGTTATGGAAACCGTACTCATCGACGTAGAGAACTGGAAGTGTGTCTGGTTTCGTAGGGTTGGGGGTGCTGAGGTGGTCTGCAACGACCCATGCAGCACCGCTGTCATCGTAGTCGGCCTCCCTTTCTGGGAGACCTTCGTTGACTTTCCAGTCTTCTAGAGAGGGCAGTTGGATAGTGCCGTTGAAGGCGGTGACGTGTGCCTTCAGACTACCGTAGGAGGTTTGCGAGGTAGATAACTTCTTTCCGTTCCAGGAGAGAGTTTTAGCGCTGGCGCAAGCAAAGACTTCAATATCAGTGCTGTTCATGATGTCTCCCTTTAGGGCAAGAATATCGTCATCAAGAGCTACATGGCGTACGAGATATGGTCCTTGTACCAAGACTATGTATATGTTAGCTTCAAAGCACAAAAACTCATGATTTCAACAAATGCACTTACCAGATTCGTCAACAGGCGCAAAGGGGTCGTTCGATAGATTCGGAGCCCAGAACAAGTAAGCGGTAGGCTTATCAGCAACAACAACCTTGACGCCATTGTCAAACTGATATACGCTCATACCAGACACAGTCTGAATGTTGGTTGTAACACCCTGGGCTTCGGCATAAAACGTGGCATTCGAACTTGTACCACTGTTAACAACTGAGCCCTTTGTAGCACCCTTGACATGGAACTCAACAGATTCGCCAACGCCAGTCGATAGCACTACGACTGGCTGGGAATCAATGAGAGCATATGTGAGAACTTCTGCAGTGGAGTAGGTAAGAATACTGTCACCCATCGCGAAGTCGGTGACGATAATCTTGGACTGGTGGCCATTGAGAACAATATAACCGCCGTGTTGAGGGACGGTGAGGTTACCAACCGATGTGCTGACGTGAAGCTTAAACGACTCTCTCGTTGCCGACGAAGATGTAGCATGAATGGTAACGTAGAATGCACCATTGGTAAGAGGATTACGGAGCTCGCTAGCCGTAACAGCCGAGTTCGTGCTGTACGAAGTGGAATTTCCCACACGATCGGTGACTGTCAAGCCATCCGCAACACGAGTGAACAGAGCCAAGTTCTTGGTCTCGTAAAACTTGGCACCAATCTCACGGTTCTCACTGATGGGACTGCTGTAGTCGTAGGATGTAGCTGTGACTGGAGCTGCAAGGGCACCCCAGTTTGTTCCTCCAAACATCATGTAGAGAGAAATAGCCGTGACCCGCTGGGAGATCAGATTCCGGTAGAATAGATTGGCAAAATCAGCGCCAATGTCGCCGGGACAGCCGCCTTCTGGTCCACCCCAGGGATTGTATGAGCCACCTTGAAACTCTGGGAAGAAGCTTGGCTGGGTTGGAGACACCTCTTTGAAATGGTCGTAGTAATTGATGGTCTGGTATGCTACGTATCTAGAAAAAGGGTCAGCAAGCAACATATGAACACCTCGAATGTGCAATACATACTCTCCGTTAGTACCCGTGCACTCGTCAAGGTTACAAGACCAGCAAGACGGGTAGCTGTCGAGACCAGCAACATCGACATTTCCGACAGCACCAGGCGCGTAGTCCTTGCTCCAGCTTCTGGTGTTCATATTAGGATCATTATGGATAAGGGGGACATCAATGCCATGAGCTCGTGACATGTCCTCCAATGCTTGCATGTAATTTGCAGCGCTTGGGTTTGGAATCTTCTTGTCTCGGTTTTGCCACTGCTCGCCATACTCATTCTCGATCTGGTAAACCAGCGCATTTCCACCCTTGGTCACGAGATGCTCGGATGTGAGCTTGGAGAACTCGGAAAAGTATGGTTCCAATGCCTTGATATACCTTGGATCATCGTTGCGTAGCTTTCCATAAGCTCCTGTTGTGAGCCACAATGGAAAACCTCCAGCATTAGCCTCAGCATTGACGTACGGACCAGGCCTGGTAATGACGTAGAGGCCAACGCGCTCCGCAATTTCGAAGAGTTTGGTGAAGTCGTGCGCGCCGCTCTCAAAGTCCAAGGTCTGGTTGCTTGCGCTGTGGTAGGCCCAGTTGCCGTAAAAGGCGAAAGCTGTGAAACCTGAAGAACATTAGTTCTGACTCGAATGAATGCGCCTTGTGAGTCGCGATACCTACCAGCTGCCTTGATCTTCTCCAGCAAATCTTCCCAAACCTCATAGACAGGGATACGCCAGTAGTGAATTTCTCCAGAGAAAACGAAAAGACGCTTTCCATTCACTTTGAAGGAATAGTGGTCCCATTGCACAACATCATTCAGCCCGTTGTCGTGAAGCGGCCATGTACTGGGCGTATTATTCTGAGCAGCAACGCCAGATCCATTTGGTATCGCCGCCAACGAATACAAAGCCGACAGCCACGATAAGCCAACAGAAGTCTTCATGGCGTTTAGGGACCGAAGACGTCGAGGCCAATTAGCGCTGTGCCCATTCTGTCGGGCATTTTGGAGACTTATGAACACTAAGCAGATGCCATGACCCCGGCCGCCACGGGATGGGAGCAAGACGCTAGCTATATTGTGACGGGAAACACGGTGTGATGTGGGGAAACAGAAGGCTTCCTAATGGTGGAATTTACATGTCCATGATGGTAGAGACGAACCGCCGGGTGTGCCGAGGCGCGGGTAAACGTGTCGGTGGCAGCAAACGTCTGTCGGGACACGGAAGGCTTGCTGTTAGGCGTTAGTGCAATGGAGACATGGAATCATCTTCGTAAGTTCCAAGACGATGACTGAGAGCATGGGAAATGGCGCGTTTTCTGCAAATATCATGACAGCTTGTGGGGTAAAAAGAGCTGGGGGCGGCTGGGGTAGCTGACGTATTACCGGCTAAAATGCACATTACGGCTCATGGGCTGTTGGATTAACGAAGTGTTCAATTCAAAATATTCGTATAGTAGAAGAAAACTGAAGAAAAATCGGTAGAGTTAATTCATTATATTTACAGTATCGCACCTGCGAAAAGTCTGAAAATCCAAAAGTTGAGAATTGGGTTGCACGGATAGTAGTAGGTATCTACGTACTACTGATGTACGTAAAGCACGGACCATGTCCCCTGGCGATGTCCTCGAGACATCTGTTTCCGCCTTCTTTTCTCCCAGGTAAATTCGACTACATCGTTAAGCAATGATACCAGCATCCCAAAGAAAATCTCAACAAGTGAAATTGCCGTAGATTCGAGTTGTCTACTCGTTCTCCGTGACGTCGATGATAGTCGACTTGAATTTCCTGGCAGGAACTCTGCGGTTGAACAGAATATCGAGCTCACGGTAAGAGCGGTTCTTGAACTCGGGAAGACCAAAGTAAGCTGAGATGAAGCAAACGCAGGCCGTGCCTCCCCAGACATATCCGCACTTGCCGGCCATGTTCCAGCCAGTTGGGTTAAGCATTCGCGAAGCCAGGTAGATCATGGGAATCTCGGCAACGTAGTATGCCGCACGACCGATACCAGTACTCAGGGCACGAAGGCGGACCGAGGAGGCTTCCGCAATGATGGAGTATGTGATGGGACCCATGGCCAAAGCGTATACGAACGAGATGATGACACCGAGACAAGCCTGTGCGTAGTTTGTCGCACTGGTCTGATGGAGTGAACCGAAGATGCCGAGAAGGAACAACATTAAGACGTTCGTGGCTGTTCCTACAAGATAGATTGTACGGCGACCAAAGTATGCGCTTAGAGGCCAGGCAAGCATATTAGCAACCAGCTGCAGAGACGAATTGATCATGTTGAGCTTGAAGGAAAAGTCGGTAGACATTCCAGCTTCTACATAGAATTAGTCATCTACATTCCAAACTCGCTAGGGATGTACTTACGCTCAAAGAAGAATGTGGCTTGGTTGGCAATCAAGTTACCGGCGAAGTTTTGCGACGCATAGATCAAGCAGGTAATCAGCGTTCGACGAAGATCAACTCCCTTGAAGAGATCCATGAATTTGGCATTGCCGCCTGCATGAGATTCAATCTCAGCAGTACGTTCCATCATAGCCAGGGTATGCTCGGCGGCTGCCTGAGTGCCGTTCCTGCGGCCGAGGCGCTTGAGGGATACAAGGGCTTCCTCCCTACGTCCTTTGCGTACTAGCCACCAAGGACTCTCGGGAGCGAAAAAGATAAGCACCATGAGGGGTAGCTAAATTTGTCAGTTTTTGACATTTTTGAGCGGGGAAAGGATGCTTACAGGAAACATCCATTGCAGGGCCAGAGGTCCTCGCCACGCCCACTCATCGTTTCGTTTGTTGAACGAGTAGGTGACACCAGCGACGAGAAGACCACCGATAGACCAAGAAAGCTGCAGAGTTGCTGTACAGGCACCACGAAGAACAAGTGGCACAACCTCACTAGCATAAGCGGGCGAGTTTCCAATGAACATTCCCCATGGAACACCTTCTAATGCTTGCCCGACGACAAGTAAGGAGAGTGAATCGGCCTGAATGAATGCTATCAGTCAGAATTCTCACCATGTCTCTCAGAGATATACTACTTACGAAGAAAGAAACAAAAATGGTAGCATTCATAAGAACGAGAGCCAAGAGATTCGTCCAGCGGTAACCAAGACGATCGGTAATTGGACCAACGATGAAAACACCAATAAAAGCGCCGCATTGGCCAGCCTGGAAGAGCGAACTCTGCCATTTTGTAGGAATGGCCTTGGTAGCCTCTCCCGGAACCTCGACTCCGTATCGTTCCTTGAAAGCGGTAAGAGCGACAAAATTACCGTTCAAGAACATGTCAAAGGACTCCATGACCTGTTACATGTTAGCTATCATTCGGAATGCAAATTCCTCGCAAATTCACTGTAATCGAATAATTGGCGACCCTGGACTTACAATTGTAAAACAAAAGACAAAGGCCCAAAAACAAGCCGCGGGATGATCCTTGACAGCCTCCCACAACCCCATCTCATGTTCGCGCGTCTCAGCATTCTGCGCATCAGTCATGAGCTCCTTGTTCTCAAGAATCTCGGCATGGTGGCCGCCGATGCTCTTCTCCCGCATCGCTTCGTCCACCCCAGACTTCTCATCGTACTTGGAATCGGCGAGGCCCGACATCTTGCAGGTGCTGTAGCGTGGTTGTTACTACGTATTTGCTTGCGACGCCACGAAAAGGCAAAGAGCGGATAAGCAGCAAAGCAAGCCGGAAGCCAAGCAGACGAAGGCAGACACTTGGAGAGCTTATATATACGGGATAAGCATGCCTGTGGGTCTCGGCATAGCAGGTTCAGACGACCACATGTTGGGCCCCCCATGGGGCTCCGCACAAGCCTTTGGAGGGGGTGCTTGTCGTGCTTGTCGTATACTTGTCGATACCGTTGGGGCTCTTATTGGGTGGGTCACCGGGGGTGCGATATTACTGGTTCCCAGTGATGCCTTGCGGCCTGTCTAGCTCAAAGTCAAAACATTCCACGCCGTTCTATTGATGCGAAAATTGAACGCTCGGGCACTTACAAGTAACCCTTCTGTTCGAGTCGGTAGTATGACCTTGGACGCATCTTCGGGGGCCACGCGCTCGTGGCGGAAGTACTCCTCGATGAAGCTTAGCAAAGCTCAATGGCAGGTTGTGACGACTGCCGGGCCCTATATACGGACAGGATGCTCGTGATAACCGTAAGCTAATCACGATGAGACTGTCTGGGCTACCTTCCACGTTGGAAACCCTCAAAGACAGTTTTCTGGAGTCCGACTGTGAAGTCGCCAAATCCATATGCACCCGACTACCGAAAACCGGGCAACGCCTCGAAAGTAGGACCTCCACACCTGCACCCAATCGATCAGCAGCCATGCAAGATTGGCTTAGGAGAATTAACCACTCTCCAAGATTCATGCAGAGTCCCTCATCAAACTACCTACTGCGATGGCGTCACCGGGGCCCATGGAGCCACCTGTCACCCGTCAACTCGATCTTATCAAAAAACGCCGAATATTACCTCGTACGACCTTTGCATGGCCCTCTTGCGCTGAACTCCATGATCGGGAAACTAAAAACCAGACGAAAAGCCACCGCCCATCTCGGCAAGCGTCGGCGGTTCGGAGAAAATAGCCCATTACGGAAGTGCCTCCCCCCCCTCAAAGAACTAGTACTAACGTTCTAGAGCATCTGGTTCATCTAGAACTGAGACAGTTTCTGCAGAAACAGCTAGAGACCAGCATTTTGCCAATCTGGCAAGGTTGTGGCGGGGAAAGCCAATGTGTTGAGGAAACGCGGGATATGTATGCTTTTGCTTCAAGGTTCACAGAGTGAAATTCCCATGGGCCTGGAGTTGTGATGCTACGTAAGGCTTACTACAAGTGGAAGTGGCAGACTCCACTTCACGGCACTTTTTCGGTCATATTGCACGGTGGTGCCATCCATCCGGCCCTTGTGGCATCGCAGGGTAACATTATTCTTGAGAGGAGGTTATCCAGTGATGATGAGGGTTTGCGCAAGATGGCTGGGCTATCAATGTGGTAATTGTCTCATTGTCTCTAAAGACAATACTTGACATCGTTGAACTGCTACTTCCTTGGTTGGTAGGATATCAAGAGCGTCAATGTTGTCAAGTGACATCATACATTGAAATGACTACGGTTATTTTACCGATGCTTGTCCCAAATAACAGACGGCAAGCAGCTGATTCATGGGCGCGAAACCCCACAGCTGAAAGTAGCAAGATACCCGCAAAATATTGAAATAACGGGATGTCCTGCGAAAGAGCCGCAAACGCCCAAATAGCATATGCACAATGGCTTGTATGGTGGGATTTGGAGAAGCAGGTAGGCTAATTGTAAACTCTGCGTCGGATGACGGATCCAACTGCTATCCGTTCCCGAACTGTTCCAATCGTGTGGTTGCTTTAGCGAGACGAGACCTATTAATTGCAGAGTAAATGCACCTATCTGCTCTACGCATGTGCTTAGTCCCCTAGTTTTTTCGAAACGCGGGCTACACCTCTGTGATATTGTAAACTGGATTTGTTCCCGCGAGGTCAAGTTTCGATTGAGTGATACGAGAAACAACATGACTGAGTTGTTGCTGAAGATCTTGCTAGGGATGTGTATCTAATATATGGTTTTCGAGATGAAGTTGTAGCGAGTAGTACTATGGGACGCGCGTTCTGAACGCTTGGACTTTTGGTCTGTCGATATAGTGGTAATGCTATCGCTAAAGATGTGAGAAGATTGGTGCCAATTTTGTGGGATTGAAAGACATATTAAAGGCGAAGTCTCTTGAACCCGACAAGTAAATAAGTTTGGGTTTCATTGACTTTGTCGGGTCTCGTGACATACACTGAGGGTGTATAAATGAGTTAACGTCTTAGGGATGTGAACAAGCTCGAAAGTTAATTGAGCAGAAGTTTGTGAGTAAGACTGTTGCTACGTTAGCAAACTAATTAGAACAGCTCAATGAGGTTTACAGTTGCGTTGTTTTCTTACATTCTCTCTTTACTTTCCATCTGCTCGGACTCTTGATACTAGGGTTTCGCATGTAGTAACTGCTTCTCCTTTTCTTCTGAGAACCCAAACTATCCTTCGCTTTACTGAATAACAGGTTCAAATGCGGAGTGGTAACAGCCGAAAGGTGAATATTCAGAAAGAGATTCGAGCCTAAGGGTCTTTGTGCTCTCAGTCCCTGACCGGACCGGCTCCACATTTAGGTCTGGAAACAATTGGGGTAATCATTACAACACGAATAGATACTCGACATATGTATGGTCGACTATATACCACGGCCGTTAGTTCCGTAACCGCACATGATTTATCTTTGAACGCTTGCCCCTCCCATGTTTCCTCTGCATTGCCGTCTCTCCAATCCATTTCTTACCCAAGAAAAACTTCCTTCACATCGCGACACGTTCAATGTCTCCGTCATATCTCTCAAGAAGCATGAAGAAAAATATCATCGTTTTCCTATACCTCGCCACCCAAGCAGGCGCAAAATGCATACCTATCCTCACGTGCGGGCACCACTCTGATCCTTGGTGCAGACCTGGCAAAGCCAACACATGCAATTGGTATCCGAATATAGACAAGCTGAATCAACCATGTCCATCGAAGCATTGGAAGTGTTATGATGGCGAATGCGTTAGTTGACCTGTGATACGAGCCTCTCTTGTGAAATCTTCTAACAAGCTTTTTAGTATGGTATCTGGGCAAAGCCGCGACAGGAGCCGTCCGCCGACACTTGTTTTATCTTGTGCTGCGAGAGTGAGTCGGATTATGAGAATATGTAGAAGGGTAAAGAGCGAATTCGCAATAATAGTTGAGGGATCAGTGGCGAGCCATTTGTAGATTGGAAATGTTAAGAATCTGTTACTGTGGGTTTCTTGAACGCTCAGTTTATGCGGGAATACACGGAGTGCAGGATTAGAGTTGTCTAGCCGCTTATCGCAGGGTGGAATACATGCAAGAGAGATTTCAATGGGTCTGCATTGATACGCGATTCTGATCTCGAAGCAATCAGGACTTCGAAAGTGCTTAGTAACGATACAAAAGATTGGTGAGTGTAGGATGGAATATGCATATATATAGCTCAGTCGTTGGGTGTCTGCAATGTCTGAATAGATAGGTGTTCATACCCCCATTTATCCCTGATTAACGTTAGCTCCTCGAACTAGAAAACCGTCTTTCTATTGTTTCATTATTTCAAACAAGACATCGAATCTGGTAGCTATGGCGCACATATCATACAAGGGACGATTGGTAGCTGCGATCAATGGTGTAAAAATCTTCCATGGGAATGGAGGGAATTCTGGTGAATTGGAAAATCTTAGGAAGTTGCGTCCTTTGTCGAGCAATTGCGGGATTTTGTGTAGCACTATGGTTGATGATGAGTAAGCATATGACAGAGAAAGCATGAGTATAGACACTCTCCCAACGAGGAAGATGAAACGATGGCCGGGTAGTGTTGTCCTATCGTTGTCATGTCGACTTTCTGGTCAAGGGGTGCAGGTGCAGGTGCATGTGTATTTAGCCAGTGTAATTAGCAGACTCGCTTATGGGGAGGAAAGCCAAGATACATGCCAACACATGTACGTCGAATCATGTAAAGACACTAGTTGGTTCTGAAAGTGGCCTTGCTTTATCCGACGCCGCAAGCTGTCGCGATTAAGCGTTTAGAAATTAGTAACCACCTATTGACTACTTCGCCGATAAGCCTATAGTGAGCTTTGCACGCAGACGCAGGCATACGAAGCCTCCTATTCTCCGGTATAGTGCTTATGTGTGCTGGATATATTTCGGTGATTTGGCCGAAGCGTGAGTTGATGTAATATATATGGCGTAAGTATTGCGGTAATCAGGGCAACAAATCAATCCGAGAGCCATGGACATGGTCATTGCTAGATAGCCTCGTCACCAGTGTTTGCAGATTTTGCTCTAGAATGCTGGAAACCAACAAGGAACGGGTTACAAAGACTACTAGGCAGGCAAACAGAGCGGGGCAGTGTGTCGTCAATGCGAAGCCGCGTAAGCGAGAGAATAATACGGAGGATACGCATCGAGTCTGCCTCGTGTGGATGGCTGTTGATGGGGTTGCGCCAAGGGGGCTTGGACAGGGCGCCGGCGTTGCTGCTCGGCTATGCCATGGGCCGTGGTGAAACGCAGTGCGACTGTGGATTGCGTCGATGCATCACAGGCAGAATTTCAGGAGGCGTGGGAGGCGAGTGTGCGTGTGGATAGAGGCTCTCAAGCGAACGCGACGAGGTTAAGAGGGATGCAAGGGCAGGCGGTAGATATGTCCAACCAGAAGACAAGAACGATGAGGAGGAAGAGTTCGCCTCAGACGAGCATGGATGCTATTCATAGCCGTGCGGTGGGGGCACATGTTCGTCATGGGCAACGGGTTCCCGATGCAAGTGCAGGGGTGCATCCGTACAGCCTCACCGAAGACGCGTATGAGACCCAAAGAGCCATAACCTCGTCGACGCCGCCGCTGTCGAATCCTCACTGCTGGCTCATCACTCCCGCAACTTTGCGTTTAAACAACCAGTCATTGTCAGATCTTGCTGCAGCAGCGGCATGACGCCATGTTAGACGAGAATCTCCCCAGTATGTCGTCTCGCCAATCGCCATCTCATTCCATCCCGCATCCTCTAACCCTGTCCAGCCTTCTTTCTCAAGCCTTCGACGGAAAAGATTAAGCACCACGAAGCCTTCTACTTCACCCAGAATGGCTCCGAGGCAGAGGCCCAGTATGCCCTCCGCCACGTCGACCCTGCCACCCCAGATGCCAGGAACACCTATGCGGTAGCCTTGTTTGACTCGCGCAACCCCGACATTCTCTACGGCGAGGTCCTCTCTAAACCGGGATGGTCACATCCCACCCTCTCCCAGGAAGAGATTCGCAAAAATGGCGGAGTCCCGCCCCCACCCATGCCCATCTTCCCTACCGAGTTTGCCATCCAGCTGTACAACCCCGATATGCGAGTTGTAGTTAGCCAATCGACGGCCAAATGGAGTAGTACTGTCAGTTGGGAGTTCAGCCTGCCCCAAGTTGCCTTCAGGACACCGAGCAACTCAGATCTCGACCGCACTATGAACGACCCTAGTGCCGATGTTAACACACCCAGGGTCAAATTTGCGTGGAGGAAAGAAGGCAGGCTGGGCAAGGACATGACATGTTACATGGTCGGAAAGTCAACAGACCCCACGGGCAAGAAGGCCAAGAAGAGCAAGGAAGGCGACATCGCTGTGGCCATGTTCTCCGGTCTGAAAGAGCTGACAGTCATGGAGCCTAACCTGTACCGCGTCGAGCTCGAAGATTATAAAGGCCTGGAAGTCACACTGCTCCTCGGCGCAGCTGTCATTCGCGACTTGTTCTTTAGCGACCTGAATGAACAGTTTCATATCAACCGCATTGGCGCCCGCAAGAACAGTGGAGGACTCCGAGCCAGAAAAGGCTCCTCTCCCCTAGAGGCGCCAAACGTCACAAAACCAGTCATGACGCCAGAACCCCCGCCACCCCCAGCCTACACGCCTTCTTCATCACAATGCCCACCCGAGAAGGCACCGCTACCCGATGCTGGAGCCTCACGTCCCAATCACCAACCGCCACCACCCTCATATACAAGCAACAATGCTGCAAAGCGTGCTTCGCTTCCACCTCTTGTCACAGGTCAGAATGGTCCGAGCCAACGCCCTCAACTGCAGCGACCCACACAACCCCCGCGGCCTGCACAGCCACACCATCCACAATATCCACAACAGCCACCACGACCCACACAGTCCTTGCGACCCACACAGCAACGACAACCAGGTCCACGACTGGATCCGCGGTCACAATGGGAAATTGAAGCAGAAACCGCTCGCCTAAGAGCCCAAGTAGAGGCTGAGGAGCGTGAGCAGAAACGCAAAGCCGAGGCGGACCGCAGAGCGCGTCGGAAGCGGGAAGAGGAGCAAGAACGCAAGACTCTGCAATTCCTTGAACAAGAACGAAAACAGAAAGAACGAGAAGAGAAGGAGCGACAGAGGAAGAAGGCAGAGGTCGACAAGGAGACGGAGCGCCTCAAGAAGCAGTTTGGGGACCAGTCGAACTTGTTCCGTCCATCCCCACAACCCCAACGACACTCGGCCCCATTTGTACCAAGCGTAGCGCACCAACGTCCCAGTCCGGCGGCACCTCGACCAGTTCCTGGTCCAGTGCAGCCTCCGCATATACAAATGCAACCGCCTCGTGTACAAGTGCATCCACCCAGCCAGCAGCGGCCAGCGGTAAACCAAACAAGCTTCCTCAGCAACGGTCTGCCCAAACCCATTGCCAAAGCCAAAAAGAGCTTCTGGGGTCTTAGGTCCCAGAGTGAGTCGAGCGCAGAGAAACTAAAGAAGAAGAAAAGCAGCATGTTTTGATTCAAAAGTGTTAGTCATGAGTATTGTATGGGGTCTGTTTTTGCCTCCGCTAGATGTTTCAGTGTTGATGGCCTGTATGATGTATATACCCACCTTGAAGTTTTTCCTTGTTTGTTGGTCAGTTTTCCGCTGGAAAGGGCGCATGGGATTATTCGGCGTATTGGTTTTCGGGTTTGTTGCGCTACGTATATGACATGGCTGTTTACCTTGGACAATACACTTTGATATGACCGGATGCCCTCTACAAACTATCCCGAGACTGAGTTTCACACCACTAGATAGCACGAACTGTAAGCAAAGTGATGCCGTGAATGGATGGGAGGCCAGCTATGCAGAAGCGACCACGCTAGCACTAGGTACCCGTTCCTACCATAAGTAGGTCTACTAGCGTGTCCGGTTCCAGCTCCTCGGCTCAAACGTATCAATTCAACGCCTCTATCACCTAACACATCCCCACTCAATCTCACGCGGATACTGAACATGAAATTTTAAAATTGAACCCATCAACATGCTCTTCGCACCACCTTTCGCCGTCTTCCCCGCACGTCCTTTGCTCGGTCTGTGGCTTATCTAGGCTAGGTTGTGCCAAGACTAAAACTTGCTCATTGAGCACATTATCCTGGGGTCTGTCTGCAGGGTCGCAGCTATAGCTTGCGCCACAGCATTCTCAGGGCTAGGACAAGTGGTTCGCTACACCGTAGTCTAGATTCCTGAATGTCAGTATCGACTGTAATTGGTTCACTTCACGCATGTTTCTTGTTGCCCCACGGTGTGAGTGTGAAAGACCGACTGGAAAGAAACACCGCGACTACTTGGCAGCGGGAAGATGGAAGCAAGCTCCGCTAGTATTGGGGGAAGAATGGCAAATTGGGCTGAGGAAAGTGGGATTGGAGCTTCATGTATAAAGGCCATGGCAGCTGCACGTCAGCTGTCGGTACGCCTGGTGGATACATTAACCTCTGCCTCTCTCGCTCTCCTTCTCTTTCACTCTGCTGTTGTCAACCTGGGTCTCTTATCTCAATAATACATTCAACCAAGATGCTGCCAAAAACTCTCTTCGTCGCCGCCGCAATGGTAGCTGGCGCCAATGCTCATTTCCGTCTCCTCGAGCCCTTCTGGCGAGGCAGCTCTTTCGCAGCGTCAGCCAGCCAGTACATCTACCCATGTGCCAACGTCAATGAGACTACCGACGTGTCAAACCGTATGTGTACTCTTTCTTTAGATGCTGATGGAAACCAACTTACCAAACATACAGGCACTGTATGGCCCGTAACTGGCGGCTCTACTCTGATCAACGGCTCCCACGAACATGCCCTCACAGCAATCAACCTCGCTCTCGGCACCAACGTAACAAACTTCAACATCTCGCTCGTCGAAATGTTCAACCAGACCGGCGCTGGTCTTTTCTGCCTCAAGGAAACTGGTCGCGCAAACCTCGAAGCCGGATTCAAGGCCGCTGGCTACTCTGGCTTCGACGACCAGCGCATCAACGGACTCATGGGAACCATCCAGGTCATTCAGCTTGGTCACTCTGGAAGCGCACTGTACAATGTAAGTGTTCACATATGATCTTTTGTAAACCAAGCCAGCGGGGATCTGACAAACATGACAGTGCGCCGACATCATGTTCAACTCGACTGCCCAGCTCCTCTCCAACGACCAATGTCAGAACAGTACCGGAGTCTCTGGCGTCGCGATTGCAAACGTGGGATCCGAATCGCAGAGTGAGGGTGGCAACGGCACCTCTGGCCAGGCTCCTCCGCCCACAGGTGCGGCAGGTCATATTAGCCCAGCACTTGGCACGACGGTGCTTGCGGCGGTATTGGCTTGGGGACTCCTGTAGAATTATGTCATTACATAGTATTCGACCAGTGTCGGATAGAGTGAATTTGAAATGTTTAATGAGAAAGAACCCGTGTTTTTGAGTTTGATCCATTGATGTCGTTGCTTGGCCCGTATACAAAAACCAAGAGTAGCAGCTCGTTGAAGTATCGCCTAGGTTTCTTTGAGTGGGTATGATTTCGTACATCAACACGCCAGAGGTATACGCCCAGTCTTATTGTCTGAGAGGGCTCACGTGATGTTGTTGATATCCTAAACATAGCTTAGTACTATAGCAGGGAGGGAAAACAACATCTTTACTGCTCTTCCGTAGATTGTACAAAGCTAGTGGAAACTAAAAGGAATCTAGAGAGTGTAATAGCGGCACTAAAGAATATTCTCGTGCGCAGTGCTAGGCCCATCAGATCGTAAGCGTAGAGTTAGTATTACGCAATTGTATATAAAAGTGATTGTTGGTGCTTGCTCACTTTGAGGATAGTATTGCTGAATGTTATTAGATATAAGGGTGTTGGAGAGGTGCTTAGTTAGTACTTCGCTGGATGTTACACTCTGTCAAATCTATCAGTAATGAAGGTAGTATTCAAGCATTGTGATGTTACATCACGTGCATGTGGTCTTTCTTTTATCCTAATCTCCCCAAGCCCTGCATGTCTTCCCCGACTGGTACAGATTAGTGTCCAGAACCAATGTACTCTTTTGGTTAGCAGGAGCATACACAAAAGATGTGCTTGACTCAATCAAGATCTTTCAGCGTCACGTGTGGGCATTCTGTTAGCTGCTGAGGTTTTAATTGGATCGCTACAAACCCACGTCATGTACTTGTCCCACTCGAGCTGTCAAAACCTTGCTCCTTCAACCGTACAGCCACGCAGGAGCGGCTACATCGACTTCGGTGTCACCGAGTAATGGCAAGTCACTAACCACGTTATTTGGATCCTACAAGGCGTTTACCGCTCTTTCAATGATACCTTTCTACAAGTCTACAATCTACCTTTGCATAACCGAGTGCGTAGGATTCGGCGACGTCACAGCTGCACCTGCATCATCAGGAGATGTCGAGAAAAAATCGAAGTGTCATTCGCTGTTGGCTGGCCTGCTGGGAAGGTCAGCTCTGCACGATGCACATGCAAGAGCGTTACCAGGCGGGACTAATATCAAAAACGGAGAGCGGCCACACAGATAGTGCATGCGTCCCAATCAACCCCTGCTCTTGGCTTCGCTTCTAGAAAGAACAGCCGGCGTTTGCAAAAAGCTCTTGAATATCCAACGGTGATTGGTTAAAAAGCTCCAAGAGACGGTGAGAACATATCCTTGCCGCACGGTTGCATGTAACCTGCATCCTATCGCTCGTAGGGCTGATCTAGGGCTGACATGTGCTTGAAACTCTTGCCGACGATCCTTTTGCTGCACTTCGGTTTCGTCGCCGTCTTGTCGCTCGCCGAGTAGTACGGTGGAGCCGTTACCGCTACTCAGCCCAGCATGGGTCTGCTAAATATGACAGTACGACATGGGTCTTCACTTATGCAGGTGCGGGAGGATCGAGAACAAAATTGTCTCCGGCAGCGTGGAAAGTGTAAGACATTGCCAAAGACTCGGAGTCGAGACGATCACTGTGCGATGCTGCCTTCATGGTTTAGAACATCAGCAGCCAGCAAAACCATTTTTCGGTTACTCGGCAATACGGAATTTCAATCTGGGCAGAAATCATGGCGCTGGATACTCGACAAAGAAATCTTGTACGAGTTCCTGTTGGAGTAACATGCCGCAAACTAGACAATAGGAATATGGCTTGACATAGCCTCAACGCCAGTGGATGTGCATTTGTGTGCAGACAGCACCGACACCGTAGTGTCAGCATACAGACTGATGCACGCTCTCTAAGCTACAAGTCCGCTCAGTTGATGGGGTGACAGGATATGAGTCGGTCAGGCTTTCAGCGGGAGAGGGCCAAAGCGGCTAGTAGCGCTCCGCCCCAAAGGCTAATCTAGCCGTGTGCACTGGCTGGACATGTTCACTTTCCCACAAACAACAGCCCTGCCCGTCATTGTGCATCACCACATGGCCGTCGGATCCGTCTTCAGCTTGTGGGCACGGCTGAAGATGTCGGGCCAATGCAGTGTCCTCCGATCCCCGTCTTACCTGGCTCTCCGCCCTTTGTGACAAGCGGGGACTGTTGTTGCATGGATTCGGGAGCGCCGCATGCAGCTGATTCGCAGCGGCATGTAAGCCAGTAGCACCCTTGTGTCTGCATGCCCCACTTGTTTTCTGACCAGCTCCTAGAATACCTCACCATGCATGGCAGCTTGTGATGCCTCATTTGGGGGCTGAAAGGTACATTATCACTTCAAAACGTTTATAAGCCACCACTCAGCCCCTAATGGACGACATACGCTCCAGCAGGTCTAGCTAGTCCCTGAACACTTAGGTTGTGGTGCTAAATTGACAATGGCATCGAACGGCACGCACAACGACTTTGTCAACATTACTACATCACATTCACGCGCGCCCAGCATGGTTCAGGAAGCACCTGCATTTTTGCCGCGTCCGCGGCTACCAGTCAGAAAGCAAGCGCCACAAAAGAATATCGACGATTTCTGGCACAAATTTACCACCAAACACCCTGGAAAGATCTTCACCATATTACCCGACAATTTGTACGCCAAACGAGCCGCCGCACATACACCAAAAGGATCCATTCCAGGAGTCAACGCACTCGCATCCTACGAAGAGGCCAAGGAGGCTTGTATCAGGAAGGTCGCAAAGATTGTCAAAGAATGCCGCAGACTGAACCAAAAGTACCGAGATCCACATTTCGATATCGAGGCAGACTTTAAACGGTCACAAGCCTTTCCTGATATACCAGCCGACTGTTTGACCGGATTGAACGAAGAAACCACCACTTTCTTTCCGCAATCAGTGAAAAGAGTAGAGGTTTGTTTTTGGGTTGTCTTTGTAAAATCCGTCGCTAATTGTACTAGGACATCTTTGACAACCCACAATTCTATATTGGCGGCGCAACGGCAAATGACGTGCGTCAGGGCAATGACGGCGACTGCTGGTTCATGTCGGCGTTGGCGACCATCTCAAACAAGGAGGGACTGATTCAACGAGTGTGTGTCGCTCGCGATGAAAAGGTTGGCGTGTATGGCTTTGTCTTCCATCGAGGTAAATAACCATCACGATCGGATGTCTGAACATAAACTAACGGCGTCCAGATGGGGAGTGGATTTCCGAAGTCATTGACGACAAGTTGTATCTCATCAAAGAAGACTTTGACGAAGCAAAGCTCGAGCGTCATCATTGGCTCGAGTTACAAAACCGCAAGAGTCCCGAGGAGGAATACCGTACCGTCATGCAAACTGGTTCCAGGGCGCTTTACTTTGCACAGTGTAGCGACCCTAACGAAACATGGCTTCCGCTGCTTGAGAAAGCCTTTGCCAAAGCCCACGGAGACTACAGTGCCATAGATGGAGGTTTTGTAGGTGAGGGTATCGAAGACCTTACTGGAGGTGTAACTTCAGAGATCTTCACCACTGATATCCTCGACAAGGATCAGTTCTGGCGAGAAGAGCTTATGAACGTCAACAAGACCTTCCTTTTTGGATGTGGCCAGATGGGCGGCATCTATGGCTCACGCAAAGGCATTCAAGAGAAGCATGCATACTCCGTCATGGAAGCTCGGGAGATAGACGGTCAACGTTTGTTGAAGCTGCGCAACCCCTGGGGCCGGTCAGAATGGACTGGACCCTGGAGTGATGGGTCTGAAGAATGGACCCCTGAGTGGATGCAGAAACTAAACCACAAATTCGGTGATGATGGCGTCTTCTGGATCTCGTACAAGGACCTACTTCGCACCTACCAACACTTTGACCGTACACGGCTCTTTGGTCCAGAGTGGACCGTTTCGCAGCAATGGACCAGTGTGAACGTCCCTTGGAGCGTCGACTACCTGGACACCAAGTTCAAGATACATCTTGCCAAGGGCGGCCCGGTGGTGATTGTGTTGAGTCAACTGGACGATCGCTACTACCAGGGTCTTGAAGGGCAGTATGAGTTTCACCTGCAGTTCCGCCTCCACAAAGATGATGAAGAGGAATACATAGTCCGCAGCAACGGAACGTACTACATGAAGCGCTCAGTCTCGACAGAACTCGAGCTCGAAGCTGGCAACTACACCGTCTTGCTGAAGATCAAGGCTACAAGAATTCCTGAGAACCCCACACCGGACGAGGTCATTAGAACCACCTGTGCCAAGCGTCGCGAGAAGCTTCTATCCATTGGACTGTCATACGATCTTGCTCATGCCAAAGGTCAATTCAGAGAGCAGGAGAAGGAGAAGCTGGCGCGTGATAAAGAAGAGCGCATTGAGCGCAAGAAGGCTGAGATGAAACGAACACACGAACGTCAGAAGAGAATGCGCAAGCGAGAGGCGCTCCGTGACCAGAAGAAGGCTGCCAAGCAGACACATCGAGCGAACCGTTCCGGCGACATACAAGAAGTCGAAAGGAAACTGCGTGCTCTCCGCGGTCTTGGTATCAACGCCGAAGAAGAACCTAGGACATCTGGGGATGAAGAATCGAAGCCCATGCATCAAGCTGTCACCAGACACCATCGTGCGTCTAGCACTGGCGCGATCCGTGAACGAGCAGACAGTACTAGTGGGAGCTTTACCGGCCGAGGCGGCTACAACAAGGGCCGAGATGGATACAATGCTGCTCTACCCGGTGCCCTTCAAGGAAGAGGCGGCTACAATTACAGCCCGCAAGCCTCACCTGGTCTCCACAACCAGGGCTTTCAAGGGCGAGGAGGCTACAACCAGAATATGCCCGGGGAATTTCAAGGAAGAGGGGGATATAACCAGAACATGCCAGGCGAACTCCAAGGAAGAGGAGGCTACAACCAAAACATGCCAGGTGAACTACAAGGCAGGGGTGGCTACAATGCAGATCTTCCTGGTGCGTATCAGGGCCGTGATGGCTACAATGGACGCGATGGATATAACGAGGTGCAATTGACGGAATCGCCTTTACCTACACCCATGCCTACGCCATCGGCTACAATGATGGACGATTTCCATCCACAACGATCACATAGCCCCCGACACTCTCCAGCTGCATCACGACGTGCAACACTTGCGCCTATTCCTGGTGTGCGACCTGGTATCCAGGTCAGTCCCGGACTTAGCACAAGCGAGTTCTCTCATAGGGCTCAAGATGGATTTGGATATCCTAACGATACTTCTGACGACTCGTCTTGGGACTCTGAGATTGACGGCCCCTGCTCGCTCGACTCTAGTATCTGTGATGGCGAAGACGAGAACGAATTTTCCGAGCAGAGGCCACGGTACGTCTGGTACAATGGTATGCGCTATCCTTATATTGAAGAGGTGGATGAATTTGAGCGGGATCCATGGAACGCGGTCTGCGTCGTTGGTCTGCGTGTCTTTAGCAAGGACAACACAGATGTCACTATTGAGGTGCACAATGGCGAGGGCGACCGTGCGAAGAAGAGTGATGGTGACGACTCGAGCGTCATTAGCATGGCCACTGTCCGACGGAAGGAGAAAGAGCTTGATGTCGACGACAGTGCGGCTGATGCTACCAGTCCGTTACGTAAGAAGAATACGGGACTAGATGATGAGCTCAAGTCTCGTGCGATGGAACGGGAATCATTGGATCAGGTCGGCTCTGCACCTGCAGGTTTGGAGCTGAATAGGCAGGGGACTTTGAGTTGAGCTGGTTGTTGGAAATGACTGCGGGGTGGCGTTATGGTTAAATTGATCATGGAGGAATTCTGTTTGTTATAGAGACTTTGCTTTTGTGCGCTGGACGCGGTTTTGTACGGCCAGGAGTTGACAGGAAAAGGCGTTTATTCATGTTGGCAATATAAGACCGGTTTATCCCAGAAAACGTAGTCTTTGCTTGGTTGCTTAGAAGTGATTCCGTATGTTGACCAAGTGGAGCTAAAAAAGGTTGTTGCCAGCACGCTACAACCCCTCTTCCCGCCCCACCCCACCACTGACCCTGCATTTCGCTCTACGTCAATGATCAGCCCAACATGCGCGCCCAGTAACCCAGTTTTACCCTTGTGACATTCATTCTCACCTCTACTTTCTCCTTCCTCTCCTACTTTCTCTCCCTAGTTCCCTCGTCATTTTCCATTCATGAAGTAGTTACCCTGCGGCTGTTGGACACAGTCATCTCGTCCCTGGAGCATCGCGTGCGTCATCAGTGTTGTGGTCTTGTTGCGACTCTGCGCTGAGACCGAGAAACATTTGCGCCTTGTCTCTCTTTTCGTTCTGCAAAATGGAGAGTAATCTTTCTGCCGCCCGGGCATCCCGACGTTTCCTCGATGAGCGCGTTCGCAACGACTGGGATTACCCGGATCCGGCGGTTGAGTGGTCAGCCTCTGACGAGCAAGTACGCGATGCTGTCGATTTCCGCGAACGATACTATGGCGAGTCGGAGTCTGGGGACTCGGACAACGAGGACCAAGATGGTACACCGTACAAGTTTGACAGTCCGGAGAGCATCGGTGACGCGGTTGCGCATACCCGCGAGGCGCGCAAGAGACGGCGTAGGGAACGCATGGAGCGTGAGATGAAGGAAAACGAAGGCTTGCGTATCTGGGTAGAGCGAAGAGATGTATGGACAGGCGCAGCGAGTGTCAGAAAATACGGCACAGGTCGGCAGCGCCAGGGAAACCGACCGTCATCTGCAACAGGCTCTTCGTCTGAAGAACATGCCACCACTCCAGCAGGCTCCGAATCGCAGTCCGCCACAAGCGCAGCACCAGAAACGTATGACCTCGTACCTGTTGCACCCCGCCTCCTCGACCAGAACCCCATCCGCGCCTCCATCACCCCACAAGCATATTCCGAC